ACAGACCTCCTCAGGATCTTGTTGTTGTTATTGATTGTACTCAGTGAGGCTTACCTCTGAGGTTTTTGTTTGATTTCTCACACTTTTTTTTTTCCAGTTTCTCTCTACCATCTCTTGCATTCTGTTATTGATGCTTGTGTCTGTAGTTCCGGTTCTCTTCCCTAGGTTTTCCATCTCCAGGATTGCCTCAGATTGTGTTTTCTTTATTGCTTCTGTTTCCATTTTTAGATCTTGGACAGTTTGTATCCATTTTCTTCTCCCATTTGGTTGTATTTCCTTGTATTTCTTTCAGGCATTTATTTAAATCCTTCACCTGTTCGGTTGTATTTTCCTGCAGTTCTTTGAGGGATATATTTTCTTCTTTTAAGGCCTCTATCATTTTCATAACCTCCGCTTTAAGATCATTTTCTTGTGCTTCTGGTGTGATGGGATCCCCAGGCCTTGCTGATGTAGGACAGCTGGGTCGTGGTGGTGTCATATGGCCCTGGGTTTTGTTGTTGTTCTTTTGTTAGTTGACTCTGTTATTAGCAGGCCTGGTGGTCTCCGATGGTGATAGGTCTCTGGGGTTGTAGGTAGAGCTCGTGGTCCCAGGTGGCTGCAGTCCTCTGGTTTTCCTACTGCTCACTGATCTGCGCTGTCTCTGGTGCCTCAGATCATGTTGGGACCGTGGAAACGGTGCAGGCCGGGCAAGTGGGGTGTGAGGTGTCCAGAGGAAGTGGAGTACAGAGGACTCTGGGCAGACCTGGCCACTGGTGCTGGCAGGCTGTAGCAAGCCAGTAAATGGGGTAGGGGGCTATTATCTGCTGGTCCCTGATCTGTGCTGGTCTTGGGGGTTGCAGATTGGGCCAGTTTGGGTTTTCTTTAGTGGTTCTATTTCTTAGTTAAATTCTACTCTCGTGTCATGCATTGTTTTGTTTTCATCATTTCGTTCAACTGTTTGTGTTTTCACAGACTTTATTAAAATAGTTAAATTAATCATATGTTCTTTAAGGTCTTTGAACATGTTTATAATTGCTATTTTGAAATCTTTGCAGCTGCTTCATCTATATTGCATTTTACAGGGCCTGCTGCAGTAAGGTTCCCGTATTCTGGAGGAGGCACATTGTCTTGGTGTTCATCTTTGTGTATGCGCTGGAATCTAGGCATATGTAATTATGATGGTTGAGGTGTTTCTTGGTGTTGATATTTGGGGTTTCTGTTGGACAGGTGTTTCTTTGTTGCCCTTTATGGATTCTAGGCAAGTGTGGTTGACATTGGGGCCCTTGTAGAGGATGATTGTGTGGATTGGAGGCTGGCCAAAGATAATAATGGATATGGACTAGGACAAAAGGCTGAGAGGGACAGAGGGAACAAGCTATGGGGACCAGGGTTTGTACCAAGAGTTGGAGTCCCCAGTAATGAAGGTGGAGTAGGAGCAAAGGCTCCTGCAAGCAGTCTGCTACTAAGCTCCATCCACTTAATGCAAATATAATTTCACTTTCCTTTCCAACTGAACAGTATTCAATAGTGTATATATACCACATTGCCACTGTTCATTAATTGGGTGAAGGATATCTAGATTTTTCCCATTTCCAAGCTATTGTTATTAGATTGGCAATGAGCATGGCCGATGGAGTAGGATGCTGAGACTTTTGGCATATGTCACAGGATGGGATAGCTGGTTCACGTGGTTTTTGAGGACTCTCCAAACTCACTTATTTTCAGAGATGCTGCCTCAATTTGCTATTTCCCCACTTCTTTGCCAGCAATTTGTTGTCAGTTTTCATTTTAGTCATTTTAACTTGGGTAAGGCAAAATTACAAAGTAGTTTTAATTCACCTTTGTTTATTTCCTAGAGATGTTTAAAACCTTTAAGGATAATTTATAACCATCTTAATTTCTTCTTTTGAGAGCTCCATTTAGATCTATAATCAATTTTTTAATTGAGTCACTTGTTTTTCTTGATACTTTGTTTTTTGGAGCACTTTATATCTTGTTAATCCTCTCCTGGAAGGAAAGCTGTAAAATATTGTTCTGTTCTGTGGCCTCCTCATGGGTCAGTTTGTCTAATGCTTTGCTTTAGAAAAGTTGTTTTTTTTTGTTTTGTTTTGTTTTGTTTTTTGTTTTGTTTTTTTTTGAGGTCTTATCTGCCAACGCCTTTCTACTGAGCAAAAGTAAGTCCTTTCCCACGCCTACATTTTTCAAGGTTCTGCTTAGGTTTTCTTCTAGCACTTTCACTGTTTCAGGTTTCACATCGAGGCCACTGATCCACTTGGAGTTGATTTTTGTTGAAGGTAATGGCTGTAGATCTAATTCCATTCTTCTCCATGTGGACAATCAATACTGTTGGCTGTAAATACTGTCTTTTCTCCAGTGATGTTTTTAGCATTTTTGTCAAATGTCAAATGGCCATAGTTACATGATCTCATAGCTGGGTGTTTTATTTTGTTCTGCTGTTACCTGTTTGTGTCTGTGCTAGTACCGTGCTGTTTTTATTGTTCTACCTCTGTAATATAGCTTGAAATCTGGGTTGGTGCTGCCTTCAGAATTTATGTTTATGTTCAAGATGTCTGTGGTTATTTAGTGTTTTTTAGTTCCATATGAATTTTAGGATTTTTTTTTTTTCCGGTTCTTGTGAAGAGTGTTAGGCAGATATTGAGATTGTATTGAATCTGTAAATTGCTTTTGTTAGAATGGTAATTTTTACAGTATTAATTCTACCATTTTTGAGCATGGTGAGTCTATCTTATAATGTCTTTCTCAATTTCTTTCTTCAGAGATTTAACATTTTTATCATAGAGGCCCTTGACATCTTTGCTTATTCCTAGATATTTTTTGAGGCTATTGTGAATGAAAGTGTTTCTATCATCTCTTAGCTCACTTATTGTTGGTGTATAAAAATGTTACTGATTTTGTAAATTGGCTTTATATCATGACACTGTACTAAAATTATTGATAATTTCTAGACATTTTCTAGTGGAATTTTGGGGCTCTGTTATGTGTATTTTCTGTATGTAGGTAAAATTTGATTCATTCTTTTCTATTATTTTGGTAGCCTGTTATTTTCTTCTTTTGATTTATTTCTCTAGCTAGTGACTCAAGCACTATATTAAAAAGGGGTGAAGACAGTGGACAGCTCCATCTGTGCTGTGATTCTAATGGGATTGTTTTGAGTTTTTCTCCATTTAGGGTAATGTCGATGTGCTGTTTGTCACAGACAGCCTCTATTATAGTGAGGTATGTTTCCTACTTTGTCTAGGACTTTTATTATGGAGACAAGTTTAATTTTGTCAAAGAACTTTTTTGCATCTATGGAGGTTATCGTGCAATTTTTTTTTTTTTTTTGTCTGTTAAGTCCATTTATACTATTTGTTACACTGACTTACTGACTTTTGCATGTTGAACAAGAGCTGTATCTCTGAGAGAAAGCCAACTTGATTGTGGTGGATGATCTTTGTGACATGTATTTGTGACTTGTTTTCAGAATTTATTTTTGCGGTATTTTATTATCCTCACCAGGGGTAATGGCCTATAATTTTGTTTATGGAAGGTGCTCCCTCAGTTTTGAGTATTGTGGATCTTCTTTGAAAGTCTGGTAGCATTTTACTGTAAATGCATCTTGGCCTGAGCTATTTTTAGTCAGAAAGCTTTTTATTGCTATTTTGCCCTTCTTATTTGTCATGGATTCGTTTAAGTTGCTGGTCTTTTCTTGATTTGATTTGCTGGTTTGGATGAATCTATAAATTGTTTTGTTTTGTTTTTCAGATATCATAGTTTAATGGCATATGAGTTTTTAAAAGATTCCCTCATCTTTTAAATATTTTTGGTGTCTGATGTAATGTTTCCTTATTGTTTGTGGTTCTTTTAATTTGTATCATCTTTACTTAATTGGCTGCTTTGTGAAAACAAATTTAAAGCCATTAAGCTTGTTCTTCGGCATTTCTGTGCATATATAAAATGCATTCTAATTAGTCTCACCTGTTCCCTCTGTCAAGTCCCCTCTATCATCCCTGAAAATCATTTCCTCACAATTATGTCTTTTTGTTTTGTCTTAATTAGCAATATGGGATTTCATCTAAAAATAAAGTTAGGAGTTAACAGAGGGGAGGAACCTAGGCTAGGCTTTAGAAGACACTAAGCTTCAAGTCTGGCTGTCCGGTGGGGTTTGAACTCCTTTGTCCTCTCTAACTCTGTCCACAACATCTCAGTTGTTTTATAAAAAATAATTCATGTATTCTTATTTTATGTGCGTTGGTGTTTTGCCTGCATGTATGTTTGTGTGAGGGTGTTGGATCCTGAAGTTACAGACAGTTATGTGCTGCCATGTGGGTGCTAGAAACTGAATCCCAGTTCTCTGGAAGAACAGTCAGCGCTCTTAACCACTGAGCCATCTCTATAACCCCCTTATGCATATTTCTTTTTTAAATTAAATTTAATTTTATTAATTACACTTTATTCACTTTGTATCCCCCCATAAGCCCTTCCCTCCTCCCCTCTCGGTCTTACCTTCCCTCCCCCTTCTTCACGCATGCCCCTCCCCAAGTCCACTGATAGGGGAGGTCCTCCTCTCCTTCCTTCTGATCTGAGTCTATCAGACCTCATCAGGAGTGGCTGCTTTGTCAGCTTCTGTGGCCTGGAAAGGCTGCTCCCCCCTCAGGGGGAGGTGATCAAAGAGCAGGCCAATCAGATTATGTCAGAGGCAGTCCCTCTTCCCATTACTATGTAACCCACTTGGACACTGAACTGCCATGGGCTACATCTGTGCAGGGGTTCTAGGTTATCTCCATGCATGGTACTTGGTTGGAGTATGAGTCTCTGGGAGGACCCTTCTTAAGCGTTTTGTTTCTTCTCAAGCACAGCACTGTGAGTTTGTATTCTTCAGTCTCTCACTGTATACGTAAAGCTTTACTGGAAGAACGTAATTATTAAGAATGTATATGAAATTTCACTTACATTATTTCAATAAGGTTTGAATCCACCTTTGAAAGTTTCCTTGTCTAAAAGCAAGTTTCTTTTTTCAGGTACTACTCACCTGGGTACTCAGACACACTTCTGCAGAGGGTGGACAGCTACCAGCCACTTCCCAACTGAACAGAGCACGTTTGATTTTCCTCGGTTTCCCAGCAGAGTATGAATAATGATTGCTAAAATTCTTTGAAAGTGCATTCTAGCTCTATTCAATGTGATATACTTTTAGATAATTTTTTCTAAATGTATGTAATAGTTTAAGAATTAGTAGCTAGAATATATGAAGAACTTGCTATAGTCATTTGCATGCATAGGAATTACTCTAAATACAGACTTAAAAAGACATTAAAAGGTTTAAAACATTTGTGATTGTCCTGCTGAAAACCAAATACAAGTAGTACAAACGTAGCCTCCAACTAGATGAGGAATGCTGTTCAGCAACACTTAGACCATTTTGGCCATTTCTTCATACGCGTCGGCAAGGAAAACTCACCTTTCAAGTTACATAGAAGCATCTGGAAGGAAAACAGCTGAAAGGTGAACCTGATGACAGGCCATACAAGCCCTGTAGGAGGTTCTGATGCCGGTCAGAGCCGCACAGAACTAATGCAGCAGCTATGACAGCCTGTTAAATTTTCTAAGAATTTCTGCACATTCTCCTCATTCTCGCCGGTGTTGAAACTCTTCTCCCTCACTCTACCTGAAGGGTTCCAAGCATTACACTCTGATGTCTGTGCTCTCCATTCCTCTTGAGAGGCTTCTTATTCATGATCTGTACTCATGGAACATTGGCCTCCAGTGTTCCCTTGTCCTGGGTTCACTTTACCAAACTTCAGAAGTCATGTTTTCAGACGAAATCTGACTGGTATACATCAGACTCGAACTTTGTATTCATTTTATATTGGATGTAGTATGGGGTCAAAGAAGATTTCAATAAAATGTTGCAAACAACATTAGAACTGTGCTTTTAGTGTTTTATATCTAGTGATTTTCTGACATTGGGAATTTGTCTTTGGACTTAGTCTTTGATTGGGCCTAAAGGGATATTACTTAAGGAGGTATCACCTGGAGGCTGGAAGAGGAGGTACAGGTCAGCCTAGATAGCCTCAGGCCTCAGTGGAGCTTGTCTTAAAAAATCTAGTTTCAAGTATCCTTTCATGACTCCCCAGCCTTTTATTTTTCATCAAAAGGAAAGTATTCTTTGTTTTTAATTGCTGAGTAGTATTCCATTGCATAAATGTACAAGCAGTTAAAAACAAGGAAATCATGAAATTTGTATACAAATGGTGGGAGCTAGAAAAGATCATCCTAAGTGAGGTATCCCAGAAGCAGAAAGACACACATGGTATGTACTCACTTATAAGTGGATATTAGACATATAATATAGGATAATCATACTAAAATCTGTACACCTAAAGAAGCTAAGCAAGAAGGGGGACCCTGGGTAAGATGATCAATCCTCATTCAGAAAGGCAAATGGGATGGACATCGGAAGAGAAAGAAAATAGGGAACAGGATAGGAGCCTACCACAGAGGAACTCTGAAAGACTCTACCCAGCAGAGTATCAAAGCAGAGGCTTTGCTTCATCCATTGAATGCTGTCTTTCTTTGTCTCACTCTCTCTCCTTTCTTTCTTTCTGGCTTATAAAGAGTTAATGAGCTCCAGGCTCCACTCCCACCAGCTGTTCTGTGCTGCTGGTTTCTGAGTAAAAAAGCCCTGAGAGATGGCTCAGAGGTTACAAACACTGGCTGCTCTTCCAGAGGTCATAAGTTCAATTCCCAGCAACCACATGGTGGTTCATAACCATCTATAATGAGATATGGTGCCCTCCTCTGGCATGCAGGTCTACATGCAGACAGAACATTGTATACATAATAAATAAAACTTAAAAAAAAAAAAGCCAAGAGTCCTTTGCCAGCTTATGTAATTAAGTTTCTTTTCTTTCTTAACCACCTGCTGCTAGTCAGAAGGCCAGAGAAGCTAACAGCACTGGCAGTCTAAGAGTTAAAAGAGCTTAGCTACAACCAGACACTAGCTACAAACAGTGGCTTCTTCCAGTGGATAATGTCCTGCCTCAGTTTCCCCTGGTTTAAAAGCTGGTCTTTTGCAGAAATGGGATTGAGAAGACTGTCTGTTTCCTCTCTGGGACAAATCCATGCTGTCCATGGGATAGGTAAAACCAATTGATTTTACTGTCTTTGCAGATTTGGGCATTTATTTCTCCTTGAAACCTCTTATAGGAGGGTGAGCATCAGTCACGTTTTTCCACAGAATCCTCATGTGTCCATCTGTCCGTCAGCAGGTCATCCATACATTGCAATGTTGGTTCACCTGGAAGGCTTTTAAAACAGAGGTAAATGCAGAGTGAAAATGTTGGAGAAATTTTGAATCTCTCAGACATTGTAGTTCAGTTTAATTGGCTTTTTTACCATTTTCAAGATTTTCCCTCTGTAAGGCAAAGATTGGTTGACTCTGAAAGACGCGGGAAAATACGCGATACAGTAAAAGGCATACTTAAGGTCCAGACATGTGAAGAGGGAAGCTCAGTAGAGAAGAGACCTAGGAGAGTATAGGGTTAGGGACAACTGGGTGTAGGGTAATGGTGGCCTGGCTTACTAATTATATATCTTCTGTTCCTGGCTTCTGAACTTGCAGCTTAAGAGGTAGGTTCTTGGACAAGTGACATGGTTGGAAGATTTCATGATTTCAACAACATCACAGGTGCTCTAGATCCCAACTGTACCTTGCAAAGGATGCAATACCATTTTTAATGAATTACCCATTCCCTGGCTTTAGATCTCTTGCTACTGGGGCTTATGTTCTGAGCCGATTAGGAGGGCTGTCTTCAGCTCGCACTGTTGCAATCTTGAAGTCTAGGTGCCTGCTGTGGTCTCTTTACGAGACTGTAGAGACGCCATTCTTCTCCTTGTAGAAGCCACGGTAGTCACGATTTTTGCTTTTGGATTTCCTAAGGTCAGGGCTGCTTGGCCGTGAGGGTTGAAAGTTACCTGGGCCTGCAGCTTTCCAGATAAGTCTTTACTCGCTAAAGCCACAGGTTACCTGGGCTGGGGAGGTGTAGAATTTAATGACTCTATGGCTGCCTAAGTTATCTTTAGCTTCCATAGTAGTGGCTTTTTTCTGTGAGAGAGAGCCCAAGGGTTGAGTTAACCTAGAGTGCTATACCCTGGCACTGCCATGAGGATAATGGCCTTGCCCTCCCGACAGTCATTTGGAGCCTAACAGAATGGAGCCAGTCATGTTCTCGTTTTCTTCACCATTTCTCCAGGCGGCCAGACCAACACAGTCACCTTTAGGGGCCTCAGCTTGTTGCTGCACTGGTTGCCACTGCCTTTGAAGCACTCAGTCTCCCCCTGTCCATGAGAAACTGGTTAAGAAGTAGGGACACTCATTCTCCCAGTAGCCTATTTGGCAGCAGTGAGCACACAGGTCCCATCCCAATCTTCACTCTGGGTGAGGGAGGCTTTCTTACTGATTCCTTTTCTGGCTTTTGCTTCAGCCTGGTTGGTCACTTTTCCGGGGGTTTCTCTGTTATCCCACCAGGACAGCAGGGGACAGATCCAACTTTGCATTTGCCTGTCTACATTCCAGGAGGCCTTTTGCTATCAGTTGATGAGTTCTTTTATTGTAATTCTAATAATTGGCTGGCATTCCTTCTGGCAAAATTCCCTATTTTCTGTATTTTGTACTAGATGTCTCCTTGGGCATGACAAAGGCTGCTTTAATCATTTTCTGGTTTTGTTTTTGTTTTGTTGTTGTTTCTGTTGTTGAGTCAGGGGTTCTCTAGGTAGCCCCGGCTGTCCTGGATTCACTTTGTAGACCAGGCTGGCCTTGAACTCACAGAGATGCACCTGCCTCTGCTTCCTTGAGTGCTAGGATTACAGGGATGGGACACTGCACATTGCTGCATTAATCGTGTTCATGGCCCTTCCCCCTTCTTCCCTCATGCTGATTAAAAGAACCTCTTGGTGATATTCAAGCATCTGAAGTTCCTGGCTCTCATTAGGGTTTCATTGGAGATCTTCATTAGGGAATGATTCTGGCTGTAAGTCTGGGCAGTCACTGTTCCTGTCAGGGTAGATTTCTCCAACAATTTCAATGTGGCCTGAGTTAAGTCTGTGGTGCTTTTCAGTGCTAAACAGAGTCAGGAGAAACTGGCAAAAGTCAATCCAAATGGGCTCGTGAGTCTGGATGATGGATTACAATTATGTCAATGACAGTCTGAGGCTTCTCAGTGAATGGGGAAGTGTGGCTTTTCCAGTTCAAAAGATCAGTGGTGGAAAAAGCATTAGAAGTCTACTGTCCACCTCGAAGTCTTGATCATAATAGAGGAACCCTTGAGTTCCCCTCGGTGTTATTTGGAAGATACTGAGCACCATAGGGTTTTGGTTTGTCTATGGAGTAAATGGATTTGAGATTAGAGGCCCCGGAGTGGGTATGGTCAAGGACATCTTTGGTGACTTTGTGGGTGTATACAGTACTTGATGGGCTCTATGCAGATGGCAGATGCAGAGTGTGGGTGGTAGATGAGGATACAGTGGAACATAAGGTAGGATAACCTCGTAGGCTCCCCTGACAAAATGGGCTTCTTGAATTCCCGTTGACATTTTAGGAGGCTATCATCTGGGTCGTTCTCTTCCAGATAGACTTTCAGCCACCTAACTGCTGCTTTATCTAGTGACCCTTTGGAGGGCCGACTCACTATGAATGAAGGCCAACATAATTCACAGAATGTCCAGAGTTTTCTGTGAGTTGATACCATCATCTGTGAAATGTTCGTTTACATTTTTTATCGTACACTCTGGGAGGCAAATGTGCTCTTTACCACCAACTTCCTCAAAAAGTTGACATCAGTTTTGAGAAGAGAAAAGGGAGGGGTGAGTAATCTCTTTGTCCATCTCCAGCTGCTCTCTTCATAGAGATATTTCAGGCGTCTCCACTTCGGGTGACTGTATAAATGTCAGTGTCAGAGCCCCTCCAAAGGCAGCCTCTATAAACCATGTGAGGATTGCCACAGTCAAATAACACTTTCTGCTGCTGCTCCTCTCACTCATCATGTTCACACAACCTCCCTAACCTGCTACCCGTAAGCAGCTTAGAGTCATGGGTTTTCTCCTACTAGGCTCCCTGGGCAATGATGGGAAGTGATTTGGCTCCGCCTCTGCTTCTTAAGGGCAGGCCTACCAAAACAAACCCAGGTCCTTACCAGTCTGATAGATGGTTCTCCCCAGCAACTCACTAAACTTTGTGCTCTGAGGTCCATGCTTCAACACACAGGAAGGGTTATTCCTGTATGGATCAGTCAGTCATCTGCCACCAGACGAGGCTACCTCCCCTAGTGTCCCAGTGTTCCACGCTTTGATGACAAGAGAAGTAAAATCATTACCTCCAAATGACCGACAGTCCCCTCAAATGTTACAGGATTTTCAGAAAGAGAAATAGGATACCAAGGCTTTCTGCAAACAAAGAGCATTTATTCGTGATGCAGATTCACGCTCAAATGCTGAGCCTGAGCACAACAGAGCACATTATATACTACTTTAATTTTAGCCCCCTTGACTCCCTTACGAGATAACACTTTGATTTGGTAGTCTCTACTACAGGGTTTTGACAAGAGTCATGCATGAACACATAGATACTGACTGTGCCATGTTGCTTTCCCTTTGTTCTGGGAAGGCCCTTACTGTTAGTATTTATATAAAAATGCCATGCGTACAACCGATCTTAAATGAAAGAGGTTTATTGGATGTAGATTGAGAGGAGGAAGGAGAGAGAAAGAGAGAGACATGATGGGGGGAGAGGCACCCTGACAGAGAGAGGGGAGAGAACTCAAGAGCAAGAGAGTAAGAGAGAGGGGAATAGCATGCTGGTCACTATGTACCTGGCCCAGATGATGTCACAAGACATCAGGTACTGGCACAGGATATTGTC